CAATCGGACATACTGCTTAGCTTCGTGTCTATTTTCCCATTAGTAATTTCCTAGTCTATTCACAACCGCTACTTTTTGAGGCATTCCGCAGTTTACGTGAAAGAAGTCCCAGAGACATCTTTGCGGTGTGGCTGTAGTAAAAGGGGGCGAAGAAACAGTCCGGTGGACTTTTAGGATCCAGAAGCCGTCAAATGTGCCCTGCACGGGCAGACTTCTTTTGGAGGTTTTTGGTAGGCTGAAGTGGAACAGAGCGTACTTCCACGTTTTCCCACAAACCAGCCATAGTGTAGAGAAGTTCACGTAGTTAAGCGGGTGGCTGCGCCCGTATGCAATTCATATCTCGCTTTTGTTGTTGCTCAGCTACGGCGCCTTGACATTCCCGCTGAGAGGACGGTCGATAATTAGTGTAGTGTGGCATGAATTGCATTATTACCAACCCGGAACGTGGCGGAGCAAACATGCAGACCCATGCGGCATCAAGGAATGGGCTGTCTAGTGTTTCGCCTCTGGGCATTGGGCCCTGTTTGATCCAGGAAGTACAGGGTGACTTGTGAATTGTGCAGTAGGACTCTTACACATACTTCATTACTTGATTCAGAATATCTTGGCTTTGCATGTGTTTTAAGTGGCATAATCTCCTTTTCAATGCTTTCCTTTTTAGAGTTTCTTTGTCGCGCACACATGGCGTTTATTTTTGGAAAGAAGTTGGGCGGGATGCTTGCACGCATGAGAGCCGGCGTGTGTGCAAGGCATTTCGGTGCATGCGATGTTGGCATAGCACAGCAACCGCTATTGTTGTTTTTTTGTACGAATTCGAGGCTCAAAGCATTCGAAAAAAGCAATGGAACACATTTGGACGGCCACTTGTCCCACAGTGCTTACTGGGAACCACCTGCAGCTAGAAACAGCAAGAGTAATCACAGACAAGCCGTCATGCAAGCATATGGCAGCATATGGGCGGTTGAAACGCGACATGTCTTGCTTTAGTTTTAGGCAGACTGGCCCCATTTGGAATCGGTTGCTCGTTTGCAAGTGGAGTGCCGGCCTGTAATGGCAACTCAGCTTTGAATTACATTGAACGTAAGGAGGCCAGCGCAAGTTCACTAGAACGACTTTGCATGTTAGGCTTGGCCTTAGCATACATGCCGCGAGGAATCGTGAACTCCTTGTATTTAGCGAATCCAAGCTAAGGATGGCCAAGTTGCGCATTTTGTTTGGTGGATCCAAGCTGAGGATGCTGAAGTAGATCAGCATCCTCAGCTTGGATTCACCAGACAAAAGGTCCAAATGGGGCTGGATGAAAATGCTCGCTCTCCTTAGCCTCCTGAATGTACTGGACACAGATTTCTGTCTGAATCGCATGTTTGGTATATACAGTGCTGTATATACAATTTGATGCTAATTTTCCGGCGAACACTACAGACCTACTCTGCCTGAAGTTCACACATTTCAAGGGTAAAGGAGCTACTTAACCAGCGTAGAACCACTGTAACCAACGTAACCTCATGAGAGGGAGCTGATGCCTAACTCGATTTCGCAGATTATGGAAAGGCAGAGACTGATATTATATCGAATACAACGTAGAAGAATACAGTGCCTCCACCATTTCATGTGCCAGCCTACAAGTGTAGACCGATGCCACGAAGTTAGGAGGGCCTTGGGTCAAAAATTGCGAGAAGCCAGGGAGGCTCAGTGGCGTTCCAAAAGAAATTAGTATATTCCAAAGTGCTTTACTTTGCTTGACAATTAAGCAGAGTAAAGCACTTTGGAATATACTAATTTCTTTTGGAATGCCACTGAGCCTCCCTGGCTTCTCGCATCCTGAGCACAGCGAAAGGGGCTAATCCAGCTGGAATGTTGGGGAGGTTCCGCAGGTGAGGCATGGCACGCAGGAGGTTCTACAACCACAGCAGTTCACATCAAGGCGCAACAAGCCTTCGAGCAATGCTCTCAACGAGTGACTACAGGAGTTTAGGGTCTAAATCTTCTGTCTCTTTCCCTCTCAAAAGCGCTGATCCTGGAGTGCAAAACAAGTCTTAAGAACAATCCGTGACTAACTGAGTCACCGGGATGACACTGAGAACAGCTAAAGTAGATCGCTGGGGGCGCCTGCTGTAGCTCCGCTGAATCCGCCATGGTATTTCTATTCTAAGATTGTGGTGAAGTGAGCCAGCAAAGACTTCTCGTATCGTGTTAATATGATCCGCTTCTGGATTGAGCCAGCTTTTGTTGCTCATAGGGTTAACGAGCGCTATCAGCCACCAGCGGACTCGGGAAAGGTCTGGAGGTATGGGTGTCAAGAATGTCGGCCCTATCATTACGTTGCATGGTTTACGTCTTAGTGCTCGTTTTATTTTATATATCGGTGCGTCTAAGTGTTCGGATACTCTACGCTTCTCTTCCTTTCTGAGTGACGGATGTGATGACTGCCGTTAAGTACAGTTCCCAGGCTTTATGTTGACAAGGCCTGTGTTTCATTTAGGCACCTTTGGTAGAGCGGCTTAAGTGCCTGTAGATGCGGGAGAGAAGGCGGCCTGCAATGAGTTGCAATACACATTATTGCAACCACCGGTGCAAGGTGCCCGACAAATGAACTACAAGCAAATCTTGATGGTTGTACGTAAACACACTGTAGGCAGTTGTTGACAACTTCTGTTTGCTTACTATTTGCTTGCTACTGCCTGGTAGTTTTTGAAGGGACAGAGTTACCTACAGCTTAGATTATGCTACATTATTAATTTGGTATGCATCAAGCGACTCCGCTTGGGCACATTGTCTGGTAAGCGAAACACCAACCTTAATTATAGATTGAGGCTCCACGCAGGCCAATGAATACAAGTAAATGCACCGGGTAACAGAAGTGATTTGATTTATGCAGTTTGCCTGCGTAGACAATATATCACCAGAGAGCAGCTTTCATTCAATTATCTGGCTGAAGGCATGTGCTTTGGAACGATGGAGGTGGGAAAACCCCCACACAATTTTGGCCTACATGTAAAGAACTGGTTCCCTTTTATAGAAGGGCACTTAGCTGTGTCCTATGTTGCATTTCCTGTGTTGGTCAATACAGGTCAGCAAGAGGAGCCTGTGGTGCGCGAGCCCTAAAATGGGTCTCCCACTAAGCCTTTAGCACCCTATCCTGTGAAAGGAACACAATATGCTGTAACAACATTTCTACATCAGATCACATGAAAGAAATAAGGGGAGTCGTTTACGGGTGCACAACAGCCTAGCAGGGTCTTGGGCCTGACTGTGTCGCCAAAGCGCTGGCCTCCTAGTGAGTCAGGGGAGGGAGATCTGTTCTTCTCCCTTCTGCGGGCAAGGCTGGCATTTATTTATTCTAGAGCTTAATTATGTTAATCTACGGGGTCTTAACATTATTTACCTGAGATCCGCTGGCGGGGGGGCTCACATGACTGCACGTAGGGGCAGTTGAGGGTCACTAACGCACTGCAGCGGCGCTGTGATGAACTATCCACGGTCAGCGCCTTCAGGCGCTGTTTTGCATGCGCAGAATCCTCTCAAATTTGAGACTCACTAAGCTGGTCAACGAAAAAAAATGCATTAGACTAAATTTCCATTCTAGGAAAGTTCGAAATTGTTGAATTTGGGAGGTTACCCTTCGCCTTGCCACCTAATCGGAAGGTGACCCTAGTCGCGCCTGGAATATAGCGGGCCCAAGTCTGACTGCTCATTTATCTTCAACTAGCGAGGGCTTCTTCATTTCATGCTGGCACTTAATTGCCCCCTCTGCGTCCGGAACTATGCGAGAAAATATCATTCGAGATTCCCAGCCTGGGGAGCAGTCACCCCCTCCAGCTTATGAGTTAACCAGCCTGCCTTTGCGCTCTTCATGGGAACAGCGCAGGAACCCGTGGCTATCACCTTTGCAGAGAGGGGATCTGGACCTCCTACCCATGGAGATGACCACCTCAGGCGTTCGTTGTTCTTCGGTCATTTTCAAGCGGTCCAGCCAGGCATACGGTGCAGAACAACCACCAGTGCTAACTACCCCCGTGCATGGGCTCAGCTCCAGGTTGGCTGGTGATGCCGCTTCTAGCTGCTGCGTGTGTTCTTCGTGCTGTTGGTTACTGCTTGTGGTGCCATATCGTTCAGTAGCATTTGTCGCTGCTGTTGCTGCTGTTGTGCTGCCTTGCACAAATCATCACAGCAGCAGCTTACCACAGTCGAATGCAATGCAGCAAAGCGAAATCCTGTGTGCTGCAGATTCTCCAGCAGCCTGGCACAGGGGGGAATGTACAGGAGACAGGGACTGGAAACGAGCATCCAGCGAGAAAGGGTGGTAGAAGGCTCAAAGGACTGGCTAATGAATATTCTATGACATGAAGAAGCTAGAGCTCGAGTAAATAGGTCTTTACTTATAAGAAAACTGCTAGTTCAAGGCTCTAAGTGCCAGCACAAACCCTTCTTCACGCGAACGCCTGAAGAAATCGTGACAAGTTCGCCTACGTAGCAGAGGTAGCAATCTACAGTCCCATCTGGCTGATTTTCTTGCTGATTTAGCATAGAATCTAAAAAACTGTACCAAATGCATTTCTCTCTAAATAAAAGACCACGTTAGCAGAGAGACTTGCGTTAACAAACTGAGGAAGCCAAGGCCCTCCAACAGCACCCAGTTGCAACCTGTATAGGTCTAACATGCGTCATCCATGCATGCACACGCATGCATGCAACCATTAATGCGTACGCGTACAAGGATATGCGTTTGAATGCATGTGCGCTAGAGCTCACAAACGCATTTATGCACAAATGCGTGTATATATACGCATAATCTGAAAAGACTGCTGCCACACACAAGCAGACTACTGCCCGTGTCCTCGAAGCGACACATAGTGCCCAAGAGTTATCTAATACCCGCTTCTACGCTGCACCATGTGTGGGCATCCGAATCCAAGATGTGGTGCAAGGACTGTGGGGCAGGGAAGACATGAACGGGAAGTGAATCTTGCTCTACTCCAGCTAGAGCGTCGTATTTAGAGCTACGTGGTCGCTTTGGTCGTGCCAGCTGCGGCTGCTGCTACACCGTTTTGGGGCAACAGTAGACTCCGAAGATGGGCAATTTGCCTCTCAATGGCTCCTCGCTGCATGTCGAGGCTCTGCAGTTGTTGATGAATGGGCAAAGCAAACCGCCAGGGCACTTGCGTACCCTTTCCTGGCAGCACCGACGTACTCTCCAGCAGCGGTGGGGTGCGGGGCTGCACGAGTGGCTGCAGGGCTTCCATAGAGGCACTCCGAAAAACCACTGCAGGCAAGGGCCCGTACTTACGCAGAATAGCCACTCGGGGCTGCATGAACTTCTGCTGCTGCTGCTGTAGCAAAACGCACGCGGCACGTAGTGCATTCAGCTGGTTCTCAGCGGCTGCTAACTCTTCCTGGATTTGCTGCTGTACTTGCTGTCGCTTCTGTTGCTGGTTCTCCTGTGCCTGTTCTCGCTGCTGCTGGACGTCCCCTAAGGACACCTGCTTCAGTTGCTGGGGAGCCGAAAATTTGCTACCATTCAGCATCTGACGTGGCCGCCATTCTGTCTGCTGCTGCCCAGCCTCTTGTTGCTTTGGTGGTCCATCAGAAGATCTTGGTTCAGGAGGTACTGCACCATCAGGTGATGCTGCAACGTGCGGTGGTGCGTACGACACTACTGCAGGAGGTCTTGTAGCGACAGATGATGAAACAAGGTCTTCTTCATCGCGTAGTGCAACCTGGGTATCTGTGTCGCTCAAGGCTTGGTTGGCCTGCCCCCAGGGTGCTCCTTCTTGGGGAATCCGGCCGGCAAAAGGTTTAGAGCTCGCCTCACAAATGGACGTTCTTTTGATTGTCTCCTCGCGAATGGTGCAGTGCTTTGCAAAGGAAAACTCCGCCCAAAGGGGAACGGGACCGGCATCACTGGGATTACCTCCAGAAGGATCATCTTCACCCGCATCAAGTTTCTCGCTAAGAGCCAAAAGCAGCCGCTCCCTCTCTTCCTCCGGCCGTTCTGCGAACTGTGTTAGTCGCACAATACCCCTTGACCTGTAAACACAAAACGTCCTACCACCAGGCAGCAGAGCATTAATGGTAAAATTGGCAGACGCAACGGCATAAAAAAGGTCCAGGCACCTGCAGTCTCTGCATAGACAGCCTACAACAGGACCCCACAGAACCGTCCACCAAAAGCGTCAAGCGGCTTCTAAAATCGCAGATGAGCAGCATTAACAACAGCAACACGAACTCAAAAATCATATAAACAGGACGAGCAACACAGGCAAAACGAGGGGTGCCGGCAGTCACTGGGAAAGCCCAGAAAATGCGCTTCGGCGAAAACAAACCCACCAGCGGTTGAACCACCAACAAACTCTGTGTATCCGCGAGAAAAGTGCAGGGAGCCGCAGGCTGTGACAGCCTTAGCTGACATCGGAGGTTGGGTCAACCCACGGCTAAGCAGACACACAAACCTACGGGTTCGAATCGCCTCCGATGCACTCCTGCAGCGCGTGCTCCTTCTCCACCTGGGAGCGGCGAACGGCTGCAGAGAGAATATCAGCATCAGCCGAAAGCCCAACCGTGACAATGCGGCTGTCTTCATGGCGTTCTGGTTCGCTGCTGGGGGCATCTCCTGTCTCCTCTCCAGCTCGTGCAATCACAAGCCCCTCGTCGGGGTTCTCCAGCGAATAGAGGGGACTGGTAGACGATGAGGGGCCGGCAGTCTCGCGACTGTTTCGTGCGTCTCCACTGCGCCCCGTCGTGGGCCCATGGGGCTGTAAACTTTCCGTAAGAGGACCCTGCCGCTGCTTTCCTGGTTTTTCAAGGGGGCCCTCCGCTACGGGGCTTTGGGGACCCCGGGGACCCTCCAGGGTCCCTGCAACTGGAGACGCGCCCCCAAAACTGCATGTAGATTTCCCTACGGGTGAAGAAATGCGCGGACTAGCCGCCTCCATCTGTGAGCAGCAAATCAAAAAAAAAAAAACGGAAAGACTACACCCTTGCTCCTGTGTTGTGCCAACGGGTGCTGCATTTTGTTACTGGTCCAGACGTTCATATTCAAATCGCGGAAAGCCATGTACATTCGATGAGAAAAGCATATTATCTCTTGGTAACGTGGACTGCCAAGATGCCTGGGGTAGAAAAGAGAGATGTACCCGTTTCTTTGTTAGTAGACACAAATTTGCCCGGTCGGCCTCCACTCAGTAATTTGGCAGATAAGCCCCTAGCTGCGTTGCTAACTACTTTGCTTCCCTCACTAGAGCGCTTTGCTTCAGCTGAAGTGGGACGTACCTTCACAGTTACCCTCTGCCTCGAAGGCCCAAGTACCAACTTATTGAAGTATTCCCTCAAAGACTCAGGACACTGCACAAAGTGCTGCGATGCCACTGCTGCCAGCTACAAAGAAAAGCCATGCAAGCAGAGCAGACGCATGGACACTTCAGCCTCTTGCAAGCCAGCTCTGAAATTGGGTTTACGGCATTCCATGGAGTCTGGCATGTAAAACAACTGACAAAAAAAGTCATTGCCTAAGATTTCAAGCTTCACCTCAGATTTGATGAAACAGAAAGCGCGGGTAGAAACTTGAGAAACAGCTCTGCAGCGAATCCCACACGATGCCGAACACCCAATACTTGTCCCTTTGAAGGTCACAACTTGCTCAAGTAGCTATTCAAGACATACACCCCCTAACCACCATCGTTCTCCGCAGAGCATGCAGACACACACAGGCTGCAGAATCTCGCGTTTCCTGTTTTAAACAACTGGAGGAGGTATTCTAGCCTCAGAGGCTACGGCTTAGGGGTTATGGCCTGTTTACCCGGAGAAGAAACCGTCGAATGTGGCCTGTTCTCGCGCCAGGCGGCCACGTACTTCCCACAGCATTCTGCGCCTGAATTCGGCGGGGCTCAAGGCACTTGTTAAACCATTGCTCATCCCATGGAGAAAGCTGCAGACGTGCTCTTCTAGTTCCGTCGGAGTCCTCACGGAGCTCTGCAAACAGTGCAACAGAAGACATATAATCACCACAACGCACGCACTCAACGATTCGCATTTCCATGAATACACGCAAGCACGGCCAGAAGTTCAGCTAATTGAAACGATGCCCCGGGGGGACAATGATCAGTAAGGAAGACAGGCAGGAGCCTGTAAGTGTACCAGCTCCCCTGGTTCCTCCTACGCGCCAGCTACCCTGAGGCTTGAGTCACCGTTAGTGCAGCAAGCAGCGCAGCAGCAGAAGGCTCCGGAGCAGCAGCAGGAGTAGCAGGGGCAGCAGACACAGGACGACCTACTTGCACGACGGTACTTAGGGCTACAACTGGGGGAAGTTCGGTAACAGCTGCTGCAGCAACATAGCCATCCATGTTAACTGTGCGAAGCGTGTCGAAGAACGGGGCCCTCAACATCTCCCCAACGGTGGAATACAACACGGATTCAAGGACATCTGGCGGATCGGCCACATACAGAGCCACGAATGCACTGTTCACGTCTCCGGGGATCGGATTGCGCAGAGACACTTCCACGTCACGCCGCAAATTCAAAGACTGCGGACGCACAACGCGCAAACACACAAATGCAAACAAAAAGGGTTCAGCGAACGAGCAGGTGTTAACCAAACAGACGCCAAAACAACAGTTGGACAAATTTATTAGTATAGCCTCAGACCAAAACTCTACCCGTATTTTGTCGTGCTCTGGAGACAGTCCACATAACTGCTTTTTGCTCTCAAGCCCTTAAGCCCTTTGGCCTTGTCGCTCGTTGGCGGCAGGCATTTGGTATATCGGCAGACACGATATCCACTTATATGCAGACAAGGCAACGTCAAATCCATCGTTGACGCAAAACATGGATGCTCACGGCACGCGAATATGAATTTACACTCTAGTATATACCTGTACATCCACGTACACCCTCGGACACACTACACGCACACACTATATATATGTATGCACAACACATTGTGATGCATGACAATGTTGGAGGTGAGGCGGACGCACCTTGCTGCTTGCGGCTTGCGTGTACGGGAGAGGTTCGTGGCGGATTTGTTCCACGAACTTAAGCGCCGCGGACTCTGCTTGGCTTGGAGATATATCTCCCATGAGCAGACAGTCCACTGCGCTTCGGAGCATTGCCCCTGACACAAAGTCCTGAAAGTTCTTATAGCTCAATGCTGGCGAACGAAGCTGCTCCTGCATGTCAAACTGGGAGAAACGACCAAATCGAACAATACTCAGCGCGACATCCAGCGCTAGCTCATATGCCGTAGAGCCAGAAAAGTCCCTCGTCTCCTCCACCAGCTGTATGCACACACAGAAAATACAGACTTATTCTACGCCACAGGCAATCTCCCCCATGTTTCACCAGCAACCTAGCTAGCTAAATACCTACCTCCCTAGCTAACTGTACGTGGCTAACTAGGAAGAAGCTGAGTTGAAGTATGCTCTGGTGCCCATGCCAATCCACACTGTTGTGTGCAAATTGGGACACCAAGTCCTTAAATATCTCTCCACGGGAGCATATTATGCATAAGGATACTTATACATAACCAACTCCACAGTAACTGATGGCAAGTTACCCCCCTATTGCCGCCCCAAAGCAGCCTCACTTGAGCTGCTGTCCTGTTGAACTCCTCCTCAGTTACCTCCGCCACCGTCTTCTTAAAGATCAAGCCCAACCCCTCAGTAACTTCCTCAAATAAGGAGCTCAAAGACTGGGCGCAAAACTAACAACATTCCTCCCTTTAATCAACGATTGCATGCTATCAGAACAAATGCACTTATGCACATGTATATACACATACACTTGTACGTGCATGTATTCATTCATTTACACGCATCTTTACATATATATGCACATATACATATACACGTGACAGTACACCATTACATGATCTTTTGTACGCCCTAAGTTGTAGAGAGCCTGTCTAGTAATCAACCGCGCACATAAATATAGTGTATACGGCTTAATACGCAAATGCACACACTACACACATGTACATGACAACGCACTGCATGCAACACTCAAGCACATGCAACAGAGACATGCATACAGCAGCCAGACCACCACACCAATAGCATATGCAGGTGCAGCAGGTGCAGCAGCTGGCCAGGCTGTAGGAAGACCTGCAGAGGAAGAAGAACCAACAGAGAAGGTAGCAACATCGGGAACTGGAGCACCAGTAGAAAGAGCAGCAAAAGAAGCTACCTGGAGCTCAAAGACTAGTGAGCCACCTGTATAGGCGACAACGAGGTCGACGCCGCATCCATGGAGGTGTGCAAGATGCAGTTTGGCCTTTTCTGCAAGGATTAGAGTAAATATTTTCCCTAGGGCATCATACAACGCTGTAGAGAAGGCTGAAGACACTCGGGCCCTAGCAAAAAAGCGGACAATGGGTTTGTTGAAAGGCTCCCCGTTGTGCCACAAGACACTCGTGCTTTCGTCAGACAGCAGCACACAGGGAGGCACAGCCGGCCTACGTCGTAGGTTCTGCTGTCTCCAAGTGTCTTCTGGCTCCTTGTCTGAAGCTAACTTCGGCAAACGGGCACCCGTTGCTGCACAGATAGCTGGGATAGGGTGCTGCACTAGGGGCCCCACGGTAACGTTACAGGCAAGGGGCTTGGGAACAGTCAAATGAGGGCCCTGTAAGACACCCTCGTGAGTCTTCTCCACAGTGGCCCTCTGAGTCCACGGTGATTTGGAGACAGAATACTTGACGCCGTACTCAGGCAGCTCCTTTACAGCCCCCAACGCTTCTTCCTTCCCATTTACATGCGTTTGAACCACCACATGCTTACCCGAAGCCATTGCCAGCCATAGGCGGCGCACATGGGTCAGCAATGTCTCCTTCGGTGGAGGAGACAGACAAAACCCGGAAGCCAACGCCAAATCCGGTCGGCTGGGGAACTGCAGCGTCGCTTCTGCAGCAACTACGACCTGATCCAGAGGTCCTAGCGGGTCAGAGGCCCTCCACAGTAGACTGTTGAGGTGTTTGTATGCCTCAAAGTACTCTGCTACAAACGAATCATCCGTAAGCGCCTCCGCCATCTTCTCCACAAACGCGTGCACCGAACCCAGCAACTCAGTTACGTTCGATTCCCCTTTCTCTGTCAAGTCCAAGACAAGCCCCAAAATTGAGCTGCGTGAAGTCATGTCCGTAAACGCTTCCCCCTTCGATATGTACTCTGCAGGACATGCACGCATATACGCATGTAGACCCCAAAATCATTTAGGGCCTTCCAAAAGCCGCGAGAGATGCGGTTCCGTCGAACGCAAGCCTCAACAGAACCTACTGCACTAGCATCATGCAACTGCCTTCCCAGCCCCACCTTTCTCCTTTAGGGTCTCAAGGAGACCCCCTTTAACGGGATGCTCCAGCAGATACTGCAGCAAAGACGACGGCTGACACTGCAGCTCCACCAACTGTGTCTCCAAGTTAGCTGGGGCACTCCAGAAAATAAACAACCTCCTCCGCCATCCGTGAGCGCGCACGAGGCGCAGCATGACTCCTGAAGTTACAACAGTAACCCAACCGCTAAACATCTATCTCTTAACTCCAAATCCTTCGAAGTCCTATTTCCACTGTACCCCGTTCAAGGAAAATGGAGGTTCCGCAAAACCAAAGGCAACAATCGCTTACCCTCAGGCTGCCTCCCTCCGCCGTCTCTACCTTTGCCTCCTTTGGAAACGTGGTCAGGGGTCGGGGGACCGTCTCCTTCGCGAGATGTCGCTCCCGATTTGTGAGGTGCTGCCTTGCCGGCCTCTGCAGGAATCTCCTGGTGTGCCTCTCGTGTCTCCTGAGAAACTCTCGGACGCTGCAGAAGACTTGTTTGCGATGCCGCAGTTGAAGACCTTGCCAGCAGCGGGGCCCTCCCCCTGACAGCAGCAGAGACCAACTCAATTACCTCCCACAACCCATACTGGTCCTGCTGTTGCTGGCTTATATCCCCTTCAATTCGGCCCATCCTAAGCAAACGGTACCAAACAAATAGCAGCACAGACGGGAGCGCCATGCAATCTCCAAAATACGCATAACAACGCTCCTACCAGCCCATCTGCTGCTGCTGTCGCTGCTGCAGGTGCAACAGCAGCAACAACAGCTGCAGCTGTTGCAGTTGCTGTTGTAATGCTGCGACTGGCTGATCGAGGGGCTGTGACATCCTTCTCCAAGTTCGTTCAAATACTGCAGACTAGCAGAGCAGCGACAGTCTCAGTAGGTGCAGCAACCGGCGGAGCAGCAGGTGAGCAGCAGCAGGTGAGCCGCAGCAGGTGTAGCAGCAGCAGGGACAGGGCTGTCAATGTTGAAAAAGGTGCCTCGGCAGCTCAGCAAACCTGAAGGAAACAGCCATGTTGGCAGGTACATAACACTTGGAGTGGAAGCGCCTCATAGATGCCAGTACGTCGATTCCTTCCCTCTTCGGGCGACTGCAAAGTGTCTCCAAGTTGCCAGTCCCGAACTTTGCAGACACGGGAGGCACCTGGGACTCTTCTCTGTTTTCTGCTTCGCTACCTCCACCTGCAGCTACCTCCTGTGTCCCCGAGTCTTGCAAGTACTGCAGCGCCAGGTGTAGCGCCACACGCTCCAAGTCCGGCGTGTTCTTGTCATGCTCCGACTGCACAGCCATCACCTGCGAAATGCACAAGCAAACCCTTAACCGTTTGGGCTAAACCATAAACTCTACTCCTTCCAGCTTACAATCCAATCGGCAGAAGCGAGCAGCGGTTTCACTATGCCTGCTTCTTTTTCCATTGGTGTCTCCTCCCCCGTTGTTATTTTTGTCCTTCCTAGTTGTTGTCCGTGTGTCTATGTTTCACAGTCTGAGCTTGTCTTCTCACTACCTCCCTTGTCATGCCCTTCCGTTTTCTGGGCAGTGTCTGAGTTCCTGCGAGTGTGTGCGTTCATGTTTCTCTTTCTTGTTGTGCATGTGTGTCTCAAGTCTGTCTCCACGTCGTTGTGCGGGTGCTGGATATTTGGGGCTCGTCCGACCTCGGCCTCCAGTTGCTCGGGGAGGAGAAGAGGGCTGAAGAGATGGTCAAGGAAGACGTTGAAGAGTTCAGGAAGATGCCTTGAGGGAGCAGAGACGTAAAAGGTAGTGATGTGAGGCTTCGTGTGTGCGTTGTGTATTCCTCCTCGGCTACTTAAGAACTCGTCCCACCCCTTCAGCTCCGGCTGCAGCGCGCTTCCAAGAAACACCGCATGCTCCAGTGCATGCGCCAGACCGGGGAGACCCTTTGGGTCGTTGAAGTACCCGCATCCCACGGAAACGGCAAACGCCCCTGTCTCCTGAGACAGATCGACTCCAGCAAAACCTGGAAGCCCCAAGTCGTCTACGCGAAAAGAAGCATATTGAGTAAAATCCAGTGGAGGCTTCATCACGCTCCTGGGCCCCCCAGGCGCAGTTACCCCGACACCTTCTGCTCCTCCTGCATCTGTTGTGCCTTCAGAGGCCTCCAGCTGCTCCGCTACTGTCAGTACATCGTCCGGGTCTAAGACCTTCAAAGCGGTGCCTACGGGATCCGGTCCCGCACCCAATCCTGTCCCCCGCACTGAAGTAGAAGCACCTCCTTCCACATACCCTTGTTTGAGCCTCGTTTTGAAATTGTCTCCAGCTATTTGAGGGGAGACAGCATGAGTGGGGTCAGGCAGACGCCCTCCACGCTGCGTGCCCGTGGCGCCTGCCTCCTTATGAGAATCTGCGCGTACACCCAACTCATTTTGGTGTTCACGCCCGAGGGCCTCACGACACCCTCCCGATCCCGACTGCACCTGAATCTCCTCCTGCAATCTTTTCTCATTTCCAGCTAGCTGTGCGCCTGCATCTGCAGGTTCTGAAAAGGGGACCCCTGCATGCGGGGATTCTCCCCGTGTATGTGAGGAGGGGTCCCCAGTACGTAAGGTGTTTGCATGATTTGCTTTCCCAGGACCCTTCGGGCGCAGCAGTACTGAGTCATTTATTCCTAACGGAGACAGCGAAATCATTTGGGAGCGAACGTGATGGTTGCTGCCTCCTGCTGCCGCCTCGGCAGCGGCGGCGGCATCAGCGTCCAAGTTAGGACTACTGCCACGACTGCCTCGTTCATCTGCCCTTGAGCCCAAATCGGTGGGTCTCTCAGGAGGAATAGATCTCGTGTTATGGGACGATACAGGAGAATTTACTTGCCGCTGCTCTTGCTGCTGCTGGATGGCTCTTGGTAGGGCATCGCCAGCTGCAGCAGCTGTTGAAATACCTGAAGAAGAAGCTGCTTCTGAAGCAGCTGGTGGTTCGTATGGATTCAATGGTCTCCCACGAATAAGGAGACGGTGTGCATACAACTGAAGGGGACAGAGTAAAAGGTGGGAAGAGATAAAAAATAAAAATAACAAGCACTTGGAAGGCCAAAACGGGAACCCACAAGCAACCTTCATGGCTGCATGCAAAACCTATTTGCAGTTGCCTTGCCAAAAGCCACGGAAGAGCTACGGCACGTCGTTCGACCAGGGGCAGACAGCAATAGGAGGCCCTATTGCTGTTGTTGCTGCTGCTGCTTCGCTAAGGGATAGTCGAAGCATACAGCCGCTCCTGACGCTTCTATAACTGTTCTTTCTGTAGGTTCTATTATTGCTGTGGCTGCATTGTTCCCGGTGTTGTCGTTGCTGCTTCCGTTGATGCTGCTCCTGCCGGTTTTCTGGGTCGACAGAGACAGTCAGAGACAGTGTCAGACTGCAACGGGGTCGAGTCGAGGTCCCTGGAGTTACATGGGGGAGAAAAGGAGAGTGTAAAAAGAAATGGATTAAACGAATGCAAAAAAGGGGGAATACGTGTTGTGTGAGTCGTTTTGTGTGTCGTGCTCAGCAGCTAGCTCCCGCCAAAAGAAGAGCTTCCCTCGGAAACCTTCCAGCACTTTTTATCCTTCAGTGGACTCATTTGCATTTGATGAAGACATATAAATAAGGAAAACATAGACGAGCCGTAAAAGTCGTCAGGCTGCAGTCCCAGAGAACCCGCCCTACAAGTGCTGCACTTCGATGCTTTTGCAGGGGCCTGCGCGGTTCAAGCGGGGGGAGCTGCTTCATCTTTGTAACTGGCTAATGTTTGTTTTAATTTAAATTTACAACAAGGATCAAGTGATTCAATACGCACGAAATGGAAGTAAATGATCGAAAGCAAGAGCGTGGAGAAACATACAACTTGCTTGGGTGGTCTGGTCTGGCCGACGGACAGCTGGAGCTGGTGCGGGAGGAACGGCCAATTGTACTCTATTTCTCAATTTTTGAATTAATCCAAAGTAATATTTGTGTAGATTGAATGTTGGAGAGGCCGTTAAAGATCGGGAAAAAGTGGGAAGCGCTGCTCGCCAGTAACCACAGAGCAAGCTTCAGACTTATATATATTGCGTCGACATGTGACTGACTGTGTCACGTAAACAGCAATGCGACTCCTTCTAATGGAATTCATAATACTTAAAATGCATTGTGGACCATCTGTCCCTCGCTCTTGTCCATCTGCAGCTCCTACTGTTCCGGGCTGGTGTTGTTGGTGGTGTTGGAAACAGTAGTTGATTTGCTTGCTTGTCTTGGGGAGGAAAAGCTTAAGACGTGCTCTGTCTATACAGTTCCGAGCAACCAATTCCCAGACCTGCCACCTAGAGCCTACGCCGAGCCAGTTTAGTAGAGTCTGCATCGTATACATTTCCTTCCCTCGCAGGCTATGCACATCTCAACAGGTCATAAACCCGCCACCTGGCGCCACCTGGCTGCCTCCGAAGCTGAACCTTCAGCTCAAAGCGGGGGATGGCGTGGAGAAGTGTCTGTTGCCTGTTTGAGGTGGTTTCATGCCGATACTCTTGTATGGGCGGCTGGATGGGCAGGATGCTGGGTGTGCCTAGTAGTAGCAGTGGTATTTGGGATGTATGAACACTTTGCTTTACCTCAGCCGCACATTGAATCTTTGCTGCAACAGAGTGCAGATTTCTGCCTGCATAGCGTTCACCTCGGCATGTGTGAGGGTGCGATCTGGGGCCTTATAGGTGATGCGGAGACAGAGACTTTTTTGCAAGGAAACAGGGTGCATAAAGCTGTCTTGTATTTGAACGTTCTCTATTAGATTTCCCCCCACATCCTTGCAAATTTCTTTAAATGCACACAAGTCAAACTCCTTCAACGCGGACTGGTTCGTTTTGTTGCTGCGGCAGCTGTTGCTGCTGTCTGTCATGCTGCTGTCGTCGCTGGCTTCATTGTTCCTGCTGCTGATGTCTTGGCTAATAATGACTTCACTGACGTCCTTGTTGCTGCTGCTGTTGCTGCTGCTGCTGTTCTCGCGGCTGCTAAGGACCTGTTGGGGGAGCCAGAAAGAGATGTCCTTATAAACAGGGGGCATGTGAGAAAAGGGCACGAAGGGGCAGACCTTGCCGTGGGAGAACTGCTGAGTGAAACGCAGGTCTTGAGACCAAAGGAGACGGATGTCGTCTATGGAAAATAGCAGCATGCACAGCCTCTCCAGCCCCAAACCGTATGCCCACCCTCGACTCGCTGCATGCAAAGTCAGCCCCACATACCCTTCAGGCAGATGCCGCAGCAAGTCCTGCTGCTTCCCCCCGTCACCGTCCTGCTCCCGCGGTTGCCGTGCATCTGGCAGTCGAGAAGGTCCCTGCTGTTGCTGCTGCTGCTGGCGTTGCTGCTGCTGCGCTGCGCACGCAGCAGCAATGATTTGGGGTTTTATTTCGCCTGCACCCAAAACTTCCAGCCAGTGCCCGTCGTGAAGAACTTCCAGCTCTAAGGAAGGATGTGTGAAGGGAAACTCCGCATTGTACACCCAGCGCAATTCGACCTTGCTGCTAGTGCTGCTGTTGTTGCTGCTGCTGGCTTGCAGCTGAATATCCGCTTGTGTTCTATGGGCCCACAAGAAGCGTATGAGCTTTTCCAAGGTGAGCTGCAATTGCAGCACGACGGGATTATCTCTGTAAGGGTTGGTCTCTTTGAAGCAGGCAAACGAACAAAGAGAAAAGACGTCTCCAACATCCAAACCCGCAGCATGCGCATCTTTCTCCAGAGACGCATGCATGTCCTGGTACTCCTGCTGCAGTTCCTGCTGCTGCTGCTCCTCCTGCTGCCGGATTTGTGCGGCGAGAGAGACAGCCGAGAGCACAGCGCGGTGCTGCGTCTGGAGAAGCTGGAGGGAGAGGGGAGAACACTTCGTCTTTTGGTTCTGTTGTCGCTGCAGCTGCTGGGGCGTCTCTTCAGCGCAGCAGGAGGGCGTGGGGCTAAAAATGCAGATGCCATCTCCCTGGTGAAAGACAGGAAAATGAGTTTTGTCCGATCTGTCTCGCCGAGCCACAGGCCCACACCACAACGCCTGCTGCACCCCAAGGCTCAGCAACCGCGCTTGGTGAGCTGTTCCGTGCGTGCGCAGCAGCAACATCCTCTTGTTGTCGCTGCTACTTTCGGGGTTGCTGGCATCGGTGATGCTGTTGGAGGGTTTGATGCTGCTGCTGCTGCTGCTGCTGCTGCTCTGCTGCTGGTCAAGCGCTGCGAGTTGTCGGTGGGGGAGGGAGAAGTAGGGGTTTAGATAAAATGTGTCACTGGTGCTGCGGCTGCAGTGAAAAGGCGGGATGAGGAGACAGTCAAAATTTTGTTCTACAGAGACAATAGGGCTCAACTTGTCCAGATACACAAACCCCCCCTCCCGCTGCTGCGGGGGGCGGGGATTCGATCGGTTTTGCTGTTCCCGTTGCGGCTGACAATGTTGAGGCTGCCGCTGCAACGCATTTTGCAGTTGGTTTTGTCGTTGTTGTTGTTGCTGCTTCAGACGGTCTGCCTGAGGCGCCAGATAAAGGGGGCTGAACAGAGCATGGTCTTTCTCCTGCTGCTGTTGCTGCTGCTGAAAGAACTCCCGCAGCAGGCCAGCAGTGATGCCAATTGGGTTCGAAGGGGAGAGGTGCAGCCCCCGCAGCAAGCCTGTCCATACAATCTGAGGTATGTGGGGTGGCTTAGGGGGGAGGCCCCACAGAGCTGACAGCTGTTGGGCTATTGATGCTGATGCTGCTTCCGCTGTTTCGCCTCCTGCTTCTATTGCTTCTACTGCTCGTCCTTCTGCTTCTGCCGGTGCGCAGGCTGCTCCTCCTGCTCCCCTCCCTGCTGCGGTTGGGTCGAAATCATCTGATGCGATGTGTTTTGCCGCATCGTCAGCTGATTCTACTGTGGCTGCTGCTGCTGCTGCAGACAGTGCAGGCGACGCTGATACACGCTTTGCTGCTGCATTACGTGCTAACACTGCTTTTCCCTTTGCTGCAGCATCAGCAGGTGCTTCTTTTGCCGGAGCTACCACATTCTCTGCCGTAGTTTGCACTGCTACAGTTGTTCGTGCTCGTGCAAGTGCTGCTGAAGTAGTTGCTGCTGCTGCAGCCGGCCCTGTGGGCCCACAACTTGATCGTGATACCTTCGTGGTGTTTGTAGCGGTAGCATAGGGAGCCTGCGAGCAGAGCAAGCGTAGCCCGGATCTCCTTGCTGTTGCTGCTGCAACAAATGCTGCAGATGCTGCTGCCGCCGAAGTTGCTGCTCCTGCTGCCGCCGCCGCAGCTGACACTGAGGAGGCTATGGGTGGTGTTGCTAATGCAGCGCCAGATGCTGATCTGGATTTGATATCGCGAGACCAAGAGGAGGCCTTCGGACACCCCCGGGAGTCCCTTGCAGTTGCTGCCCCGCAGGTAGGGGCCCCCCGTGTGCAGAGCCTGCCGCGTAGGACAAAGCGGAGAGGGCCCCTCATATCAGCTAAACAAATGCAGTATTGACGGTTAGTATTGATTACAAAGCACTTGGAAGATACAATTCATTTTCATCTGCGGACACATCACTAAATCCAGCGCAGAACAGAGAAGACAAAAATCAAGGGTCACTCAGTACTCATCTCCGCGGGTATCCTAGCATAAACTGTCTCCTTGTGCCTCCCTCGGAGTTTCAAACATCTAAAATCAAAAAGGCAAAAAACACCCAAATTTCTATCACTTTAAAAAGAAGGTAGGCGCTCTCCTCATGGTAGGGTCCCCGTTTCTGCGGGCACTCGGGGGGTCCCAATGCTACGGGCCCATATGACCATGGGGCCCCCTCGGGGGTTCTCTATATCTACACATGTAGCCCGCTTCTACAGGGCCCTATGCAGGTTTTGGAGCCGTGTTTGAAGCGAACGTTGGTATTAAAGAGAGGAAATAGGAGCAATATGCTAAAGACTACCACGAATATACTTCTTGCTATTATCTTCTGAATAGTAATCGACCCCTGCCGCACGATGACATAGGGCCGCTCCTCTACAGCGCCCCATGCAATCCCACCTCGTGGAGTACTGATAAATAAGGAGAAACACTTGTAGTTCTGTGTACTGCATGCGCATTCAGTCTCCCACAAGCTACGTAGTACCATATACATACATTTGCGCTACGCAGCCGGTAGGAGACTGATTGGACTACGGTTGTTCCTATGGCCTGTCTACTTTGTTTGCTTCGGTTTTGGGACAGGAGGGAAAAGTCGAAGCGACAACTGAGGAGTAAAGACGCTCTTTAATCCATACACCCCAAAGTATACGGCTGTTTTCACGTACACTTGCATGCATGCATCGAGGGTGACTGTCTTTAGATTCAGAAGAGGCAAATAAACAAGGAGTCGGCAACGCTGCAAATACCTAAGCAGCTCGTTGCAGGTGCCACTGCTGCTGCTGCTGCATCAGCTGCCTGCCACTTCTACTGCATCAGCTGCCTGTGTGATGCTGCTGGCGCACCAGCATGCAGCTAATCATCGTCGCAGCGGCAGAGGGCAGCCAGCTGGGAGGCAAGGTACATGGCTTTATCCCGTCGTCCTTGCGAGGAGACAGAAGGCCCCTTGTGCTTGAGATGCAGCATTGCTGCAGCAAGAGCATCCCACTCTTCCATCTCTGCCTCTGCCGATGCTGGTGCTGCTACTGCCGCTGGTGCTGCAGACACTGTTGTCTTCTCACGAGGCCCCGCATGTACAGCAGCACCAGACGCACCATCCACCTGCTGCTGCTCTGATGGCTGCCCTCCTTCTCCCCCCATGCTGATGCTGCTGTTTCCGTTGCTGCTGTTGCTGTTGCTGCTGTTGCAGTTGCTGCTGCTGTTGCTGTTGCTGCTGCTGCCCGATTCACGGCCGCTGCTGTTCGATTGCGAGTTGCATTTCTTCATGCCGGGCCACAGATGACACTGCAGCGCTTCGGCAACAACACACAGCCGCCGCTGCTGCCGTTGCGGTACAGCAGCAGCAGCAGCAGCCTCAGCAGAAGCCGTATCAGAAGCAGGAGCAGCATCAGAAGCAGCAGAAGCTCCAGCCTTGGGGCTTAGGCACAGTTCAATGCCTTCTATAAATACGTCGCCTAGAAAAACCCAAACTTCTGTCTCCCCCCTCCCTGCCAAGACAGCGGTACCTCTGCTGCATCGGTCGCAGCCCCAGGTGCTGATGCTATTGCTGCTGCTGCAGTGTACGAACAGAATGAATTTGAGGGGAACGTCTCGGACCCACCAGTTATCCGTGTCTCCCACCTCGTCCTCCCCTCTCGTCTGCTGGTGCCGGTATTGCTGCTGCTGCTGTTTTTCTTCGGCGAGGGGCGTGGAGAGCATGCACTGCAGCGGCTGCAGCAGCTTGCTCCTGCTACTGCAACTGTCTCCCCACTCTCCCTCTAGAAGGCGTCGCGCTGCAAGCAGCTTGTCTCTTTCACTTTTGCTGCAGACAAAGACAACCGCTTCTGGCGGGAGGGAGAAGCTACTAGCTCTCTGTACACCCCCCAGTGTCTCCTTTTCGCTTGGGGGAATCCCCTCCGTTGTAGCAGCACTCTCCTCACCCGTAGAGTAAGTTCCTGCACGCTGTTGCTTCACCTGCGGCTGATGCTGCTTCTGCTGCTGCAGAGGCAGTTGCAGCATTACAGCCCTCAGAGGGGCAGAGTAGTACTTGTTGCGGATGCAGCATCTCCACGAGGCGACGTGTATTGCCTCACAATCGCTTGTCTTGTCAAGTGACTCTTCTGCCGTCTCCTTCACAGGGACAGACCCCAGCTGCTGCAGAAGGTGCAGTGCGAGGTGCTGCAGCAGCACATTGCCTCCCCACGGAGAGACTTCAGCTGCTGCTGCAGGCGACACTGCGATCAGCAGCAGAGGCAGCTCCACAGCTGCTGATTCTGCCACTGCTGCTCCTGCCGCTTCGGGGGCAGCCCCTTGTGTCTCTTTTGCGCCTTGAATCATAGAGAGAACAGCCAAAAGAAGACAACTCCAGCAACAAGAATAGACAAAAAGGGACAGAAACTGGCGGACCGATTGCTGGTGGACGTGCTGCTCTGTTGTTTGCTGCTGCAAGTCTCATGCGGCCTTGTGGAAAGAGAAGAAGAGTTCGCAGGCCCTGCTGCTGTCTTCTCCTGCCGTGCTGCTGCTCCTGCTGCTCCTGTAGCTTCGAGATAGTTGGACTGTTCCTGCAGCTGTCCCGTATATATTACGGAATTAGTCAGTTCTTGTGACCTTTAAAGAAAGAAGGCAGCTGCATCATTGGGCAAACAGCAACAAAGACAACGGCCCAGCAGGAACAGCAGCACCAGCAGAACAAAATGCCAGCAGTAGCAGCCGGGGGCCCTCCACTCTGAGGTGTACCTACAGGGAGTTTTTGGTCTGTTTCATCCTTGTTCCCCATTTAAGTTCAATTTAGAGTTATTTCTGTGTCATCCTACTGCATATGTCAGATTTTAGATTCCAGGGTTGAGGGTCTAGTCTTTAGTCTTTAGGGTTTGGTGTATGAGGCATAGGGCGAAGGGTTTCGCTGCTCCTGGAGCGACTCGATTTGCCTGATCTCTTAGTGTTGCTGCTCTTGCTGCCGCGATTTTCTTAAATTTACCCAAAATTTGTCGTTTATACTCCCTGTTGTTCTATTGAGGTTGGTGAAAGCAGAAGAAAGCCAATGAACCCTAGCGAGTTGGAGGCGGCTGCAGACGAAGCAACAGCAGCTACACAACAGCAGCAACAGCAACAGCAACAGCGGCTGCAGCAGAAGGGGCCTTTCTGTCAACTGGAGTTGCCTTAATTGACTCTCAGTATCACGAGACGGGCGAACAACAGCAACTGGAGCAGCAGCCCCAGGCCGGTCAAGCAGCAGAAACACCACCAGCAGCAGCAAGTCCTGCTGCTGGTGCTGCGGCGGCCGCAACAATTGCCGTTGAGGACCCTAACTAGCTCAAGAGCATGTCCGCTTCTACCAACTGTTTCAGCATACACACGCATGCAACCACAGCAACTGCAGCAAAACCTGTCGCGCCAGCAACACAGGAGTTCGTTACAACGACAGCTGCAGGTGAAACGCGTGCGGCGGCAGCGACAATAAAAGCAAAAGGATCAGAAGCAGCAGGTTTATGCAGTTCGGGCGTAAGGAACAGCAGTAACTTCACAGACGGCAGCAGCAGCACCAGTGCGAGCAACAGCAAAGCCAGCCGCAGCAGCAGGGTACGAGCTTCTTCATTTTTGTCTCCAATATGGGTCAACAAGAGTCCCATGTGCTGCAAAGCGAGGCTGTCGATGCAGCAGACGTGAGATTTCGCCCGCGGGGGAGGCAAGACCCAACCCGAAAACGAAAGACTGTTGTGAGTTCCCTCTTCATCGTTCCACTGCAGCATCTGTGTTTGTTTGCTAGATGCAGCAGCACTTTGTGAGGGTACCACGGGCTTGCGGCTTGGTGTTTTGTCACGGGCACTCGCATGTGCATGCAGAGACTGGATAATGTTATATATATATATATATAA